CTTAGATTTTCGTGTGTTATAGTCTATGTCATCTGCATGAATTCGGGCAACCGGTCCTGAAACCTTAAATATTTTACGGGCCCAAAAAATAACCTAATGAACAACAGTCATTGCTTCTCCATGATTGTTTCTCGTTTTTGGGATTTTGGACCATAAATCATGAATTTAGGACAATTCCCAAATTTTTGTGTGCTATAGTCCATTTCATTTTCAAGAATTTGGGCGACAACTCTGAATCTCGTTAAATTTCGCTAGCCCGTAAAAATGAGCTAATGAACAATAGTCGTTGAGTCTCCACGACCATTCCTCGTTTTTTTTGCATCTTAGGCCCATAAAACAAGAAAGCTAAAGATTCTCAGGTTTTTGTGTACTATAGTCCACGTCATCTGTATGAATTCGAGCGATCGTCCCAAATCTTCTAAAGTTTTAGGGGCCGACAAAAAATGATGTAATGAACAACAACCATCGTTTTGCCATGACTGTTCCTCTTTTTTGGCATTTTAGGGACATAAAACAAGAATTCACGCTGATTCGCAGATTTTCTTATGCTATAGTGCACGTCATATTCATGAATTCGGGCGATCTTGCCCCGAATATCCTAAAATTTTGCGGGCCCATCAAATATTACCTAATGAATAATAGACATCGTTTTGCCATAACCGTTCCTTATTTTTTGGCATTTTAGATCTATAAACCATGAATTCAAGATGATTCCTAGATTTTCGTGTGTTATAATCTACGTCATTTGCAAGAATTCAGGCAACGAGCCCTTAATTTCTTAAAATTTTGCGGGCCCACAAAAACGACCTAATGAAGAATAGTCATCACGTGTTTCTCGTTATTTGGCATTTTAAGGTCATAAAATAGGAGTTCCAGATGATTCCCAGATTTTTGTTTGTTATAATCCACGTCATATGCATAAATTCAGTCGATCGGCCTCGAATCTCCTAATATTTTGCGGGGCCATAAAAAATGACCTAATAAAAAATAGTCATCGGTTATCCATAGCCATTCCTTCTTTTATGGAATTTTAATATCATAAAACAGGAATTCAGGGTGATTCACAGATTTTCGTGTGCTATAGTCCACGCCATCTGCATAAATTCGGACGACCTTCCCCGAATATTCTATAATTTTGTGGGCCATAAAAAATAACCTAATGAACGATAGTCATCGCTTCGCCATGATTGTTCCTCGTCTTTTGGTGTTTTAGGGCCATAATACAGAAATGTATGATGATTCCCAAATTTTTGTGTGCTACGGTCAATGTCATGTGCATACATATGGGAGACATGCCCTGAATCTCTTAAAATTTTGTGGGCCCATAAAAAACGATCTAATGAATAATAGTCCTAGTTACGCCATGATTGTTCCTTATTTTTTGGCGTTTTAGGGCCATAAAATAGGAATTCAAGACGGTTTTCAGATTTTCATGTGCTATACAGTTCACGCCATCTACAAGAATTCAGGCGACCGGTCCAGAATCTCCTAAAATTTAGCGGGCCAATAAAAAATGACCTAATGAAGAATAATCATCGCTTCGCCATGGCTGTGTCTCGTTTTTTGGAGCTTTTGGGCCATAAAACAGGAATTCAGGACGATTCTCAAGTTTTCGTGTGCTATAATCTACGCCATCTTCATGAATTCGGCGACCGGCCCCGAATCTCTAAAATTTGGATGACCCATAAAAATGATCTAATGAATAATTATCATCGCTTCGCTATGAATGTTCCTCATTTTTTAGCGTTTAGGGCCATAAAACAGGAATTCAGGACGATTCCCTGATTTTTGTGTGCTATAGTCCATACCATCTGCATAAATTCAGGCGACCGACGCAAATCTTCTAAAATTTTGTAGGCCCATTAAAAATGACCTAATGAACAATAGTCATCGTTTTACCATGACCATTCCTTTTTTGACATTTTAGGGCCATAAAACATAAATTCAGGATGATTCCTAGATTTTCATGTGCTATAGTCCACGCCATCTGCATGAGTTCGGGCGACCGACCTTGAATCTCCTAAAATTTTGTGTGCCCATAAAATGATCTAATGAACAATAGTCATCACTTCTCCATGATCGTTCCTCATTTTTTAGCCTTTTAGGCCATAAAATAGGAGTTGAGAACGTTTCCCAAATTTTCGTGTGTTATAGTCCACGTCATCTGCATGAATTCATGCGACGGGCTTCGAATCTCCTAACATTTTTCTATTACCATCAAAAACAATATACAGTATAATTACTACCTTAATACACAACCAAATAATTACAAAGCATAGTAATTATAATAACATGTTTTTTTTGTACACATGTGTTAAACATATAGATAAAGTCACTTCAAAAACAAATCAATTATGAGCTAAAACTTGATACTTATATAGGCGAAGAAGTAGAAAAAAAATATTTATACGCTAGTATTATCAAATAAATTCAAATAGATGAGAAAACAAAATCACATCTACTCACTTAGATGGAATCATTGTTTTACTCTTTCTATCCGCATGACTGTTTTCTAATATTGAGTAGTCTGCGTCACTCACATCTCATGTCTTATGAAGGAGCGATCACATATAATGATCATTATGAAAAATCCAAAATTTTTATAGATAGAATCAATCATAAATTCCCAAGTGCGGAGTCAATGGAATCCAATACGTAGATCAGCTAATAAAAGAGTAAAACAAAAAGTATGCCATAATATATTACATACGTAGTTTATTTTTATTTTGAAAATGTAATTGCTTTCTCTTAATTACACATAATTTCATGTTAATCACTTAATTATTTGGTCAAACAACAAACTATATCCCATTACGCCTAAATTCAATTACAAAGTGGCTTTACAAACATACCATAAAAGTTAAAAAGTTTATAACGAGTGAAGGTGTAGAAACATTGCTGTTTAATTGTAATATTTTAAATTTGATCATTATATTGTTATTCAAGCTGGTTTGCCCGAGTGGTTAAGGGGGAAGACTTAAGATCTTCTGCACACAAGTGCGCATGGGTTCGAACCCCATAGCCAGCAATTACTTAATTTTTTTGGAAGGCTTCTATTTCTCCTCTCTCGTGAGCTAAACATTTTTTTTGGTTAAACTAACTTGCCTGCTGATTTGACGATAGATTTTTCTTGTGCTCAATGTACCTTCTTTACCATGTGGAGCCACACTGTAATTTAAAAGGATTATAATTCCGAACCCATAAGGTTCAAATCCTAATTTCACCTTATTCTTTTTTGGTGAAAATGATATCAGGTAATCACTTTTAAGTATGTTGTTTAAAATATATCCACATTTTACAATGTATATAAAGACTAGCCAATTTCGCTCAAACTTCAGGACACGGCAAACCTCAAAGTTCAAACTTCAGGACATTGTGTCCTAAAATTCGAAAATTGTGTCCAAAAGTTCGAATCTCATGTCCTGAATTTTAAATTAGTAGTTCAGAAATTCATGACACTTAATCCTGAATTTCAAATTAGCAGCTCAAAAATTCAGGACATAAATTCAAGATACTTAATTTTTGATGTTTGGGTGAATTGGCTAATCTTTAAATACATTGTAAGTTGTGAATATATTTTAGATAGCGGGGTTAAAAGTGACTATTGTTGTACTTCACCCTTTTCTTTACCTTACACTGTTAGAAAATACAGTATCACTCTCACTATATTAACTACACCAATATGCAAATATGTTTCCAATCTAAAATGAAGACTGTCCCCGTGAATTTCAACCAGTCTGGTTTTGATCATGTTTACGTTTACTTTAAGTCCAATGTTTTTTTACTAGAGCCATCAAAATGTGCTTCGACCATGAGGCCAGCCCAACCAAGCCCGCTATTTGGGTAGGGCTAGGTGGGGATTGTTTTAGCCCATTTAAAACTGAGGCTTATAAGTCTGGCCCAAGTCAGCTCGCTGGCCCTTGAGGCTTGACAGAGGCTGGGTCTCGTGGACCAAAAATTAATTAAATTCATATTTAAATATTTAAAACAAGTAAAAACTAAAAAAATATTAACTATAATCCAGATTTTCCAAGAATTCTCATTTATCCTTTCATATCAGCTAGAATTTATATTTTTGATATGCATATAGTATGACAAGATTAGTTTTTCTTTTGTTTAATTAACAACGTACTAGGAAAGTTTTAAGTGGTCAATAATAATTTTTTTCAAAAGAAAATATTACTTTAAGTGGGCAATGATCAATTTGGTTACTTTAATATATTATTAATTATTAAATTGCTCTTCAGTATAGAAAAAGGTCAAGTTTTAATACCCAAAGAATCTTGAAAAACACTAACAAATTTCACGAATTTTTAAAAATTCATGGACTATAATGATGAAATCAACAAATAATGTTAAACCTAAATTAAAAAACCTTAACATATAAACTTATCGAAGCAATTCCTGAATCTAAGGAAAGTGAAAAAAAAGTACTAAATAAATATTCATGTAACGTTAAAAAAAGAAGAGCTCGAGATATAGAGAATTTGCATTTCAATTACGAGATTCCTTATCAACTATGAAGATTCTTGTACGCTCTAAATAAACAGAAGTCGTTCATATGATTAAGAGATTATGTCACGAAAAAATATCTAAAAATTTGAAGAAATATTTTTTCCTAAAAAAGTTGAAGGGTCAGCCCACCCTAGCCCGCAGCCCTCTTAGGGCTGGACTGGGCTAGCCATTTTAAGGCCCATATAGATGGAGGGCCAGTCGTCCTAGCCCATCAAATTTAATAGCCCACGAGGCTTGGGCTAAGCTAGCCCGTTTTGACAGCGCTAATTTTTACGAATCATCTTATAACTCATGCAAAAAGAAAATATAAAAACGTTCTAATTTTTTTTTCTCTCTTTATCTTACTTTATATAGTAATAAATTAAGATGGACTTAAATGGAACAACATTGAAAAGTGATATTTCGTAGCTGACCTCAACTTATTTGAGATCAAGGCGTAATTGTTGTAACTTCAACATCTAACCGAAGTAAGTTCATCGTTCCTCTAAAAAAAAATTGCAACTCTATCAACATAACTCTGCTAGCTGAACAAAATTCGATGTCCTACATTGATTTTAAAATGTTCACTTTTTACCGTCTAACACAAAAAAAAACATGAATATACAAGCAAAACAGAATCAATTGACAAGGTTGTTTTATAATCAGTCTTCCACCATTTCTGTTTCCTCAGCCATTATGATCTCCACATCCCGGATATCTCGCTTCAAAACATTGCCAAGCCTAGCAATAGCCTCAGTTTGCTGTTGCAAAACCTGCCAAATGAAAGATTTTCATTAGTCTACAGAACCACTGACAACCACCACTTGCAGTAGATGTAGGTGATCAGACATGAAGTAAAAATCAGAAGAAACAACAGTAGTGGAAGTCGGATGTGAGGTTGCGTCTGCTAAAACATTACAAATTTCAAGGATGTTCAACTATGATATGTCTGAGCCTCACTAATTCGCTTCCCGACTAAATTCATCCAACTATATAAACAGGGCAAACTCGTGATAGTAATTAAACTCTTCATTTTTTTCTCGTCCTTTTCCCTCTTACCTAATTCGCTTTACATCTTGTTCACTGACAGTCCCCTTGCAAAGCAGATACAATATTGAGTTTAACAAGTACCGTGGCAGGAAGGTGATAGAGGCAAAGTGCACATATTGGGATATAAGCTTAGAGCAGACCTGACATTCTCAATATGGTTACAAAGTGCTATACACAACCACAACTTACAGATAGTCATGAGGAACATCATTTAGTTATTATAGATTTATAGCAGACAGAATGTTTTGTCCATAACTCCTGCATGTAGAGGCAAAGAGCACATATCACACCTTTTATTTTGGATAAATTAAAGCAGATCTTACACTTGACAATATGGTTACCAGGTGCGATTGGACAACCACAACTTACAGAAAGCCATAAGGAACATCATTTAACTTATGTTGTCAACAGAATGTATTGCTCATACCTCCTGCATGTCAGTAAGACTCTGTTCATGAATTTTAGTTGAACCAGGGAGATAAACAGAAGCACTTCCAAGGCCATTTTGAACACGGCATACAGTGAGCAGATTCTGAACCCTCCTAGAAAGCTCTGCTCCAGATCCTTTTAACTGTAAGTAGTGTCTGTTTCTCAGAAGTCTTGACAGCCAAAAAGCGCTCAACAAGATTAAAAGACTAGGCTACTAACCTGTCTAGTGATGGCAGTCAACTTCTCTGCCAATTCAGCTTCTCCTTTCATCAAAGGCAATCGACAACCTTTACCTTCCAGTGCCTCTAGTATTCTCATTACCTGTAGTACAGACGAGCCAGAACAACAGTATAATAAGCATAACTGCATAACCTAATAGTGCAAACAGGAGTCTTACGTAATTATTTTAATGGAAGCGAAAATCAGGATGGTGGTGATCCTTGACCACCATTAAAACGACACATTTCACAGATAGTATGCTTAGCTAATTTGGTTTAAGCAAATGACAAGTTACTAATCACTGCTAAAGAGAAAAGTTTTTACTAATAGAAAATTAAGATTATAAGAAAGGCCAAATAAGAATCGCACCCTCAAAAGGCGTCTTTGAAGACCTTGCTCTTTCTGTCTCATTCTTTCGATCCAGGGAAGGGTATCAGCTTGGAAATGCCTTTGCAGCTGCATTAATTGAAAGTCAAGCCAGCAAGGGTAGCATAATGCACAGACAATAGAAGACACTTATGGGACACCATGTGCAGGCACACAATAAGAGAGGGGAAAGGAGACGAACCGTTTTCACATTGTTCTGTGTCATTCGCAGCCTCTCAGCATCCGAAACTATGACTTCATCTTGCAGCTACACGAATTCAATTGAGAAACATCAATTACCAGGAACCACAACCCATCCCCACCCTAGAACCCAAAATTTAGACGAAAAATCAAAACAAATGGAAGGCCACCATTAAAATGAGAAAGTATGACGCAAGGCCATCTCAAATGATTGAAACGCCTCTCATATAGGGGCTGTCATGAAAAGATGAGAACAAGAAAATCCTAATATTAACCTCGCCGGCAAAAAAGTAATTTAACTAATTAATTATAATTTAACTATATCTATAGAACAGCTATAAGACCGGCAATGTTATATGGTAGTGAGTATTAGGCTGCTAAAGTCCAACATATACACAAGATGAGTGTTCAGTCGTACAAGATTAAATAATTTTACCAATGACCACATTCGCCAGAAAGTATAAGTAGTACGCATTAAGGATAAATGAGAGAAGGTCGCTTGAGATGGTTTGGCCATGTCTTGAGTTGACCTACAAACACACTAGTGAATTAAGGTGTTAAAAAGGGACAGGGTAGACTTAAAATCACATGGAAGGAAGGTGTTTCAAAAGACCTACAAATCCTTGGAATCAATGCAGACTTAACTAAAGATAGGGCACAATGGAAGAAAAATACCCACATAGGTGATACCTACTAGTTAGGAATATGTTTTAGAGTTGTTACAGAATTTTTAATATTATTATTATCATTACTATTATTATTTATAAATACAAATATTTAATTTACTTTTCTCTTTTACCTTATTTTGGTACGGTGATGATATGAGTCGAGTATAAAGAAAGAAGTGAAGAATTATACCGTTGAACGCAATTTCTTTAGGATTGAGGCGTAGTAGTTGGTGATGTTGTAATCAAGAGCTATGATAAACACATGCATCAAGCCGGGATGGTTTTTCTACAGGCTTCTACAAGCATTGTTGGCCGACAATCAAAGATGATCTAATGTGCGCTATTAACCATTGCACATAGTCTGGAGCATTTTGGGAGAAGCTTAAATTCCTCGTATATTGCCATTTGGAATGACGTATCGAAAAGTATCTAATAGGAAATGGCAACACCTTTCTTTAGGTGGTAGAGTTATTTTGATAAACAGCGTTCTTGAGCGCTTCCCACTTTTACAGTCTTTGTTTCTTGACCCTGCTTCAGATTTGAAACGTATGTACTTATGTATAAATTGAGAAGGGAGTGGCAAGGCACAAGCACTCCAAGGCGTTTTGCCTTGCAAAGTGGAATAATGATACGAGAGACAAGAAAAGTGGAGGAATTGGCATTAAAGACTTAAGGATCACAATGTTAGTCTCTTGATGAAATGGCATTGGAGGTTTAACAAAGAGGACAATGCATCTTGGAAGAGGATCTTAGCTGATAAAATACACTCTGATGGACTCCCTGGCGCATTAAAGCTTCAACTGCTCCTCATTTCAGAGTCTAGAGGCTTATACAAGCACCGATATAGCTCTGAATCAAATGTGAGCCTCCTGGTGGGTTGTGGTAGAGATATTAGATTCTGGGAAGATGCTTGGTTGGGACATACTCATCTTAAGGATCTTTTTCAACTTAAATGGAGAAATAAAGATTCATGTAACCAACCCCAACTTGTTTGGGACTGACGTGCAATTGTTGTTGTTTCATAACATCTCCTCTATGCACAATGTTGTAGTTGCTGATACCAATCAAAAAAGATGTTGTAGTTGCTGAACTCTTTCAGATATAGAATAGGAACCTTTTTCTAAGGAGAAACCTATGTGACTGGGAAAATGAAAGAACATGCTCCCTTTTAAGTTCACTTAGCACTACTATTTCAAATCAGCATAAGGGGGACTCTTTCAAATGGAAGGGCCACTCATGACTCAACTGGCAATTTTTTCTGCTAGGTCTTGTTACTATCACTGGAAATAAAAATCTCTGGCCTTGAAGGAAGATATGATATAAGAAGACTCCTTTGAAGGTCTCATGTCTTGCATGGCTCGTGGCCAAGGAAGCGTGTCGCACTCGGTCAAATCTCCAGAAAAGAGTAATGCAATTCTGTAGCAGATGTTCCCTTTGCTAGAGAACCCTGGAGGGTTCTGTCACCTTTTATTGCACCGTAAGATCTCTTGCTATATATGGAGCATGTCTTCGCAATTTTTGGCATGACCTGAACAATGCTCCACTCTATTTTGGACTATTCGGATAGCTGGAGCAAAGTGGTAATAAAGAAGAAGGCATGGAAACTTTGGAACACTATAGCCTTGGTCATTTGGTGGAAAATCTGGACAGAGAGAAACAATAGAATTTTAAAGGAAACGGAGAAATATACACAGCCTTAAGCACAGATGTATTTTTTGCTAGCTTTTTTGTGCAACGTGGTCATTGTAAATGATGTAGATTCCATAATAGCAATGATCGTGGATTTGCACAATCCGTAAGTTTTGATGCACTATCTTAGTATTGTTCATATTCTTATACAAAATAAAATATTCCTATTCGGTAAGGTATAAAAGTATGTGGCATATGGTAATTGCACAAGGTGTAGGATGGGTACCGATATTTTTTGCAGACATTCTTGTGTATTAAGGTTGATAATTGAAAAAAGCGATATCAAATAAGAGTTGGGTATTTATAAAAGAAAATGACTTTTGCGGTGGAAGAAGTCATTTTCCCATTTTAGTTGAAATAATTTTTCTTGAAGAAAACATTTTCCAGATTTCAAGGAAATGAACACCAGAAATAATCTCCCTAAGGAAGATATTTTGGAAATCAGTTTCTGTCATACCAAACACACTCCTAAGTGATTAACTTGAAAGTACCTTGAGCCGATCGGAGAGATCCTTGAAGCCATGAACAAGCTGAGGCCACAGGCGCTCACGATCAGTACTCTCCATGCCTTCAAGTTTTCCCATTGCCTCTGCCCACATAATCTACCAATCCAAACTAATTCATCGTACTTACCAAATATTCCCAGCAAGAAACAAGGAAAGAAACAAGGATACCCATACTGAAATGAAAATTTGAACCATATTGAACTCACATCAGATACACCAGCAGGTTTCGACCTATATTGAGGTTCCGTCACACTGAACAAAAGATGCTGCAAAACCACCATAAATACACATAAATGACGAATAAGTATAACCATCTGTAGACTATACACACCAAAAGATGGAAGCCTTCCAATCATGATTTAATAAAGACTGTAACTTTTCTTTTTTCTTTTATCAGGTACAAAAGACTGTATATTTTAACAACTGACATATCAAAATAGCCAATTCTAAGTTCATATATATCTTCACAACGCTAGCGAACAGCTCCAATATGATAGGTAAATGATTCAGTGAGTACTTCACAAGTGACAATGTACTATTGTGTGATCTAACAATTTCATTTAATTCTGTTACCTCTCCAAGATAAGCTAGCCTAGTAGGAAAAGAGAAAATCAAACCTTGAAAGCATACTTAGTGTTCCCGGCCTCCTCCTTGTATGCATCAACAATTGCCTGATACAAATATAACAAACAAACTGAGTTTAAGTTGCAGTAGTAACTCCGAGAATAAGCATTGAATAAAATGGAAAGCAACCTGCTACGAAAAGGAAAAACATGCTATGAGAGATGAGCATTGGTTCTACAAAGAAATCGACCCTTGGGGAGACAGCCACACTTAAGGACAGCTCCTTGGCGGTGACTCCCCTATCCTTTCAATTTATTGTTTCCCGTGTCTTCTTTATTGAATAAAAGGTCCAAAGTTGCCTATTTTGTATGTCCAAATCAGGACCTTCCGATAATATTTTTTTCCTGTCCCTGGTAGTAGTTTCCGCGAACATTAATGGTTTTAATCATGACATGCTCTTTAGCATCAACCACTTAATGTTTGAAGCCATATAAGGCTTTCTTAAACTACTAAAAGCTTTTTACACAAATCAGCAATTATGTCAAGCGGATTCAAATAAACCTCAGTCATTGGATATTTTGCACTATTTTATATAATAAAAAAAAAAGGACAAGCCGGTGCACAAGGCATCCTGCGTTCATGCAGGGTTCGGAGAAGGGCCGCACCCCAAGGGCTGTGATATAGACAACATACCCTACTGCAAGCATTAGTGGCTGCACACGGCTCGAACCCGTGACCTTAGGTCACACTATTTTAGATAATAGGCAAATTAAAATTAAAGGACAGCTGTATGTTTCTTGTGTGACAGAATTAAGAAATGTATCCGCAAGAATGGGCATAAGGTTTGCATACTCGCCTATAATAGAAACTTCTAAAATAAATATGATTTGAGATTAAAAAAAAGAAAGAAAATTAGTACCTGTAAATCCCTATCAGCGAGAGAGAAAGGGAGAGGAGCAACAGGAGCCATCTGAGTAGTCAATTGAGCATTATTAGCGAAATTAGGTTGTTGACCAAATGAACCAACGGGTGGTGTGGAAAAGCTGAAAGGGGACGCCGAACTCTGAGGTGTTTGAAATAAGGAAGTTTGTTGTTGTTGTGGCTGTTGTGAGAATGGTGTTGAAAATAGTGAGGATCCAAAGCCAGTGCCGAAAGAGGAAGTTGACGGCGTGCCGAATGCTGGGGTTGAATTGGACGGAGTGCCAAATAATGCTGGGGAGGAAGAGGGAGTGCCGAAGACGGAGGAGGAAGTCTGACCTCCGAACATCGTTGTTGGAGTAGTCGACACCGTAACCCTAGTCCTTGCTTTAGCTTATGGAGTTGAGTGTAGTGCTACTGACTTTCCGCCATTTTCTTTTGGAATCCGCCTCTGTCCTTTACTCTCTTAAATTTCTTTTCAAATTCTTATCAAAGAAACAAAATTTTGGTTTCAACTATTTAGGACCGTTTGGCCATACATTTTGCCACAATAAACTTGGATTTTATTTGCCAAATACATATTTGGTCATAAATTTTGCCTATATTTTGGCAAAATCTCAAATCCCAAGACCAGCCAAAATCCTTACAAACACTAAGCTAGCGTTTGGTCATAGATTCTCAAATTTGTTTGAAAAATCTGATTTGGGTGAAGATTGGTTTGAAGATGAAAATGTGTTTGATCATGCGTTTTCAAAACATATTTCCCAACTTTATTTTGGAAAAATATGTATATAATTCCCAAGTTTTGAGATTTTGGCCCAAAATCAGCAATTGGGGTGATTTTGGGATTTGGGGTTCAAGATTTGGGATTTTGCCAAAATGTGGGCAAAATTTATGGCCAAACATGAGTTTGCCAAATAAATTCCAAATTTATTTTGGTAAAACTCATGGCCAAGCGGGTCCTAATAATTATATACATGTTTTTCCAAAATAAATTTGGGAAATATGTTTTGAAAATGTATGTCCAAACACATTTTCATCTTCAAACCGAACTTCACCCAAATCAGATTTTTCAAAACAAATTTGGAAATCTATAGCCAAACGCTAGCTTAGGAGTTTGGATTGGTTTTAAACCGGTCAAATCAGCTTTTAAGTTATTTTTAGCTTTTTCCAATATTTGGCAAAGTTAAAAGGTATTTAAATAAAAGTTGTTTAAAATAAATCAAAAGCAACGAATTAGGCAATCCCCTTATTATTTTTCAGCTTAAAAATTATTTCTGCTGAAAACTCATTTTTTTAAGCCAATCCAAATGGGCTCTAGATAAGCCCGAGTAAAATCTCTCTAATAAAGGTCACTCCACACTTAAACTCATCTGGAATTCACTTGTTAAGTATGAAGAGTCAAAATATAAATAAGTAAACATATGAAGAAATAAAGGGGAGTCAACACATAGTATATACATAAATATATATATNTGGTCCGCCACTGTGAACAAGTATTTATCACTCCATCATAATCCTTGTTGATTGCTATGAATGAGACTAGTTTCTTAGCACGTGTATCCCAATTATTTAGTAATATAATATTTTACACGATATATAATAAAAAATGATCTTATTTTAGTGACCTTATGTTGAACTCAAAATGATCTTTTTGAGTGAGCTAGATTTTTATGCATTATGAAATATAAAAAAGTCGTAATTTACGATCGAATGATGGATGCCGAGAGTTATACTTTAGAGCTATAGGCTATAAAAATGGATATCACAACGGACTATTTCGGCCAACTCTGTATGTTGTTAAAGAAACTTATGGAATTCAATATTGTTTAAAGGGTAGTTGAAGGAAGGAGGAAATCCACTAATAGTGAGGGTGAAAGAAGTAGGTTTTTTTCTCAATGTCTGTTAGTTTTCTAACAGAAGTGGGTGTTTTCTGTTACTTAATGTGCTCATATTTTATAAACTTAAAGGACAAATGTTGCTCAGAGCTATTTAAACGACAGAGTTAAACTTACCCTCAAGATAATTTTGGCTAAAAACTCTAAAGAGCTCAACAAGAATAAGCTTGAATGCATTGAGAAAGAACTCAATAAGAATAATATCAGTATTGATGATAAGTAAAACAAGTAGGGAGCATCACAGTATGCAATCACTTGGAGAAAAAATTAAAAGCATCTAAAATCCAGTTTTGAATTGATATTAAACAAAGAAGTGAAGACGACCACCGACCTTGCAGCACCTATGATACAGTTGAACTTAGCATAGGTACCATATCAGTAAGTTCATAAGACTCACAGATTATATTAGTAGATATGTAAATTTATAGTAAATCCTTATATTGTGTAGACAACTACAACCAATGAAGTCTGTCAAATACCTAAAATATCAAAGGCAAAAAAAAAGGTCTAGTGTTCAAAGATAAAATGGACCTTGCAGCCACAATGCTAATAGTTCAGACCTAACAGAAACCAGTAACTGAGGCCTTTCCTAATTTGATTAAAGTAAATTTAAGTGCAAACATCAATGCCTCCCAGCCTCCCCTACAACCTTAAGCATGAAAAAGCACAAAAAGCTAAGAATAGATAAATGGACACCTTAAACTCTTCCATGTAAAATTTTTAAGGCCGAGACTAACTTATGTTGTACAACAGAAATGCTAAAAGAATCAGGGAAAAAGAATCCACGGAAACATAACAAAAACCATTGGTTATCTGTCGGATTACTTCCTCGATTTCTTCCTTGATTTGGATGAAGCCTTTGGTTGCTCAGTGCCTGCATTCTGAGAGGCTCCTTTTGGATTAGCTGGCTGGTTTGACTTCGTATCACTACTGCTCGCTGCCTCTTTAGCCACTGCACCCTGAGAACCTCTAACCTGAGCTGCTCTCTTGTCCTTTCTCTTTGGTCTGTAACTAGACCTCTCCCTCTTGGGAAGCCACCTTTCTGGATCAGGTGGAGGTCCTGGATTGGCCGGGTCAAAGCCCTTTGGATATTTTGGCTTTCTCTTCCTCTTTTTCTTCGCCTTATCCTTGTTCTTTGCTTCATATATTTCAGTGGCAGCAGCAGTTGGACCTTTCTCGGCATGCTTGGCACCAGAAGTTTTCTCCAAACTGTCCACATCTATCGCTTTCAAACCAGGTAGTGGTTTTAGCTTCTTTTCGTAAGCTTCTGCTTTCTCAATATCTCCATGGGCAGCAGTCTGGATCAATCCAACTAAAGCTTCAAGACTTCCATGGCTTTTTACTAGCTCCTCGTACAGCCGTGCTGCCTCCTCCTTCCTTCCATGCCTGAGCTTGAAAGCAGCAGCCTCCTGCATGATGATATTGAGCTTATTGTCTTCAGTCATGGCATTTGACCACCACCTGATTGCGGAATCAAACACAGCATCGGCACCATCGATATCTCCCGCTCGTTCCTTGAGAGAAACAAGGGTGGCAACAGTTGCAGGTTTGTGTTGAATGTCGGGTATTTTTGCCAAGGAATCGGCTGCAATCTGGGGGTGGCCAGCAGCTGCAGCTACCTGAGCCCTTGCAAGTAGGATAATATTGGACTTGTCAGGAAACCTATCTGCATACTGTCCAAGTATTTCTTCAGCTTTAGCAGCCTTGTTCTCTCTCACATGTACAGCAGCTTGAAGGAGTACAGGCATCAAGCTACCAGGGAATATCCCAGGTAGAGCACCAACGAGTTCTCTAGCCTGTAACGATCAAATGACAAAAATAAACATCTAAAAAAGAATGTGAGGATAAACAGTAGCAGCTGGGTGTCTACTCCTTGTTTATTAATGCATCAAATGATAAAAGGAGAACTATCATGAACAGATGCAACATCTCAGAATATACCTGATCCATCTTATTAGAATGAAGAAGAAGCAGCACCCTATTGGTGTATATTGCTTCCCTTTGCTTCTGCGAGAGCTTCAAGTCCAGTCCCCGAGCAAGCTGCAACTTCTCTGGTCCATCACTTTTCTCAATTAACTTATCAAGTTTCCTTAGGCCATCAGAGACGTCTTTAGGACCCTTTAAAGCAATGAGATTATTTACTGCCACCGCAAGTGAAGAATCGTCAGCCAAATTTCTTTTGACAAGATCAGTATAAGCTGCAACAGCCTCTTGGGTGTTCCCTAGAATCTGGAGGAGAAAAAAAGAAATTTGCATAATTGCAACTTATCGAAGGAAAAGAAGACTAGCCAAACTCATGTTAAATAATTACCTGTTGTACATATGCAATTTGAACAGCTATAGGTGCCAATTCAATTTCAACATCATCATCAGCAAAATTCTCTTCCATTAGTGTTTCCTGACCAATTCTGTAATTTCAATGTCCAAAATAAGATATTCATCTTTAGTTATATTTTCATTTCATTCATGCAGAAATTAAGTTTCACAGAGACTGGCAAAGAAGTGCAATGTTTTTCGACATTTGATTTGAGACCTCTAAAAGTACATAACCAACAACTTCTTCCAAAAAATAGGTCCCAACAATTGAAGTAAACCTTAAATAGACGAAGGAAGACAAAATTTCATTCTACGACTATTCCAACTGAATAGAGCAGAATGCAGTTTGTCGGGCCCGGAACCAAAATATTGTAAATTTTGACTCAAGAGACAAAAATAGTTGGAAAAAAATGTTGAGGACCATATTATGTGTAACACATACCTTAACGGCCAGTTATCCCGTTAAGATATAGCGCATGTAATATATGCGCTATACTCGGTATTTGCAGCCATAATAATTGACTGCATAGAGCATCAATTATATGCGCTATGCATACTCCTCCCAATCATCTGGTATGTTCTTTATTACAAGAAAATCACATAAAACGTGGTCTATGAGTTATCTTTTCAGTATAATTAACAATTTAACTTGGAAATTAGCCCATGTAACTCTGTGAATTTTTGTATATTCATGTATTTGTGATATATTCATGTATTTGTGAATTATTTTGCTCTCTGGCAAAATCTGTATTAGGAATTAGTACAAATATTTAAGGGTAAATTGATTGAGATAGGTATGTAGTTTTCAATATCAGAGTCTACTTTATCTTCTAGGGAACATACTTGTCGATAGTATAAAAAGTTAGGCTAATACTTTACATTTTAGAAAGAATGTCATCATTTGTTCTTTGGGAAAGTCATCATTTCTAATTGCCCAATACAAAAAGGTTTTCAAGTCACTCAATTCGACTATTACTGCATTAGATATCAAACACAAAATGATAGTTCCAATGTTCAACCAAAAACAACCCTTAAGTTTAGCACCGATACAAGTATATCATGAAGAAGGGGGAGGGGTATACATAGCGCATATAATTGATGCGCTATGCAGTCAATTATTATGGCTGCAAATACCGAGTATAGCGCATCTAAAACATGTGCTATATCTTAACGGGGTAACTGGCCATTAAGGCATAGCACATGTTTTAGATGCGTCATACATAATATGGTCCTCAACACTTTTCCACCTATTTTTGTCTCTTGAGACAAAAA